AGCCAAACTGACGAATTCGAGTCTCAAGACGATGAGGGGAAAACGAGCGAAAAAACTGGACTGACCGGAATCCGGTAAAATTTTCCACTGTGCATGGTGAGATCTTGAATGAAAGATTGGAGAAAGGATTGAGAAAAAAGTGCGAGAAAAGTGAAAACCGCAAAGAACTGAAAAAGGAAAACACGTGAAGATGTGGGGAAAAGATAACAAAGAAAGACGGCCACAGCAGTGCCGAGTGCGATTGCAGTGCTGGGGTCGAAAAGGGTCTTGATCACTGCGGTGTCTCGAACACAGCAGTCGTGGTGGGGAAAGTGGAAGAACGAAGCAAAGTGAAAACAAAAATGCAAGGACACAGTGGAAAATTTTTTCCGAATTTCGGAACGACCGAATTTTTTCAAAAATTCGGTTTTTTTCAACTTGCGAATGCTTGGGTTTGGCTTGTTTCTTTCAATCGTAGTATGCAATATATGTTGTTTGCAGTGCATAGTTGTGGAAATTGGACGGCGGGGACTGTCCTGGAACGCGAAACGATGAGGAGGGGGAATTGGCTGGCGGTCCATTGCGATCGGCGCTCCTCCTTGCTACTGCTCCCCAGGCCATGTCAACGCGCGCCTTTGCATGTCCAGTGACATGACACAGTTGTGACACTTTGTTTCTGAGGCGGAGGCGGTCGGGGACGGTCGCACAGACGCAGGACAGCGCTGTTGACACAACTTCGCAGCCACCACTCAATGACTGCACCAGTGCGCCAATTCTTCACTCAGGATATCTCTCATTCTAGCTACAAATACAATTGATACAATATTCATGCCATGGAATCATGATGAAGTGCTTTGGAGTTGGAAGCAGCTCTGGGCATGGCCAACTTGGTGCCGTTCCAGTGTCAGCGGGCAGACCGCGCTTGCGATGGCGACGTCTGTCTGTAGCGTCAGCCATACTTGTAACCAGTCATGGATCCGCTTCAACGGCGGCTGCGCACTGGGTGCAGCTACAGCCACGCCAATCTTGAGACATAAAAACAAAAGTGAGCTCAAATCGGTCACTTCCCTTACTTGTACCGCTGGCAGTCTTGCGGCACTCGGTCCTCGCTGTACACCAGTGCGTGTCAAAAATCATTCAAATGTAATACAAGTCAACGCTGACGTCAAGCGTGCGGTGTGCGCTGAAAATCGAGCGTTGATCGGTTGTAGCGTTGTTTGTCGCGATGGGTGTCGCTTCCGCGAGCTTGATACCGGCCTGCGATGAAAATTGTGAAGGGCGGTGATGTGAGTATTCATTATCGTGTGGTTATGCTCAAAGAACGTCGCATCAGTTTCAGTCCAGTGGCAGTTAACAGCATGGAAACATAGTGTTGAAAGAACGCCTGCGGCCGGCTTCTTTTTTCGCGAATGTTCGCTTGAAAATGACAGAAACCGCGCCCCGCACACCAAAGTACAACATGGCGTTAGGACGACCACTCAATCCAGTATTATTCAAAGCAACGAGCGAGGCAAAAGGGGCCAATGCAGCGACAGGACAAACAATAACATGAAACGAGTGAGTTTGTGCTCACCATTTGCATGTCTTTTCGCGGTGTTTCGTGCTTCTTTTCTCGACTTGTAGTATTCTGAGATATTATGACATATTGTCCAATCGAGATACGCGCGATTGGAGGAGGATGAGAAAGTGTAGTTTCATGCCTGCGATCGAATCCCATTTCGCCCAGCGTTGACTTCGAGCTGTCTAGACCAAGCGTCTTGATGCTTTTTGCTTTCTTTTTGCTACTGGGTTCGAACCTGTTTGGTTGCGCTTTCTTTTTTGATTTATTTTTTATTTTTTTAATGCTACATTTTTGATTTTATTTTTTATTTAATTTAATTTTATTTATTTTAATTTATTTTAATTTTTTTATTTTATTTTGTAACGTCACTGCTTCAGTCTACCATTTATTTTTATTTTATTTATTATTTTTTTCTACATCGAGTGCAGATCGAGATGGCCAGCAGTGACATTTGTGAGTGTGCCACAACAAAAAGAAAAAGATAAAAAAAAAAAAGCAAAGAAGAAGGCGAACACAGCCGTCGCGCGGCTTGTGGTGCTTGTCTGTCATTGAGCTTTACCTCTCTCTGACTGTGCAGCAGTCAACGCACGCAAGCGATGCTGATGTCAGGAGGACAAGAGGATGGAGGTAAAGAAAAAACAAAAGAAGAAAAAAAAAGATAAAAAGGCGCGATAAAAAAGAAAAAAAAAGAAAAGAAAGAGGGCGGTCTCCTGGTCTGCAGATCGATGCCGACTGCGCGGATGCGCGGAAAACACTCATCTC